TGTCACAACCTCAAACAATGCCCAAAATTACTATTTTCAACACCTATACACCCCAGTAAAACCGGTTTTGACCTAGTACTACAGTATAGTCTCGATTACGCGGTCAATTAAACCCGGAGATCCCCGTAAACGAGGAACGAACGAAATAACAGAACATATGGGATTAATTGAAATAAAGACTGTAATTCCCACTACACTTTTTCCTAGCACAAGACGTTGTAGTAAAAATAACATCTTAATTTTATGATGGTATGACACACACACATGATATATAAGAGAAATATCAATAAGAGAATAATATACTGTACAGGTATAAGAGAAATATCAAGGTTTTAACACTTAGGTTAGTAGAAGAGATGGCTGGGCACACGGGATGGGGGCTGGTTCGAGGCAGAGGGCAGATTAGTGGCCCTCAGGTATCACTTGTATCACCTGTATCGCTATCCACCACAGAGGTTAGCAGGGCCTCGCGTCAAACCCTCAAAGTCCATATCCTTCACTATCAATATCACTGATGGGCTGGCTGTGGTTGTGGGTTGCGAGCGAAGAACTGTAATGTTACGTTGACGGCTAGCATTGATGTGGTCGTGATACATCTGGATATACGCTCCATAGATTGCAACAGATGGTTATTGGAGACTTCGTATCTGTGATTCACTGGGTCTTGGGAAAGGATGAGCTTGAGTTTTCGCCAACTCGATGGCCTCCTTTACATCACCATGTGTTAACTTCTGTTCTTCTTGTTCTGCTGTACACCTGCCTCCTCAATGACGTCATCATCTTCCAACATCTTGTCGGCAGTCATCTCAGGTTGCCTGATTACCTCCAGGATGTCTGGTGGTCTCAGAAGGCTGCAGCTGTAACACTCTGTGCAGCCTTTCTTGCAATGTCCAATACCACAGCAACAGACTGAGCCTCTCCAGCCACCGCTGACTCTGCCTCCTACCTGGGATACCCTGCAACACATGTCACGCCATGGATGAATCGTTACAGACAAGCTGCCCCCATGCCTCCACCAAGAAATCAACAGCTTTCTTGACGTTGCACATCTTCCAGAACTGCTTGACTCACACTTCATGCTCCGCCAACTCTTGTTCTGGATCCTCTTCCGCCTCGCTATCGGTGCCACCCAGAAGGTTCCGTAATTCATCCTTGGTATTGGTGAAGTCGTTCAGGAGCCAAACTTCTTTCTGAGAAAGCAGCCTTGGTCGTTACAAATCAACTCCTGATCCATGGGCTGATTAACGCGTGAGTGTTGGGGAAAGGAAGACCACTTTTACACTGGGGTGACGATCCAACAGTAGGGCAAGTGTCCTGGTAGCGTTATCAAGGAGCAACAAAATGTTAAATGGAACATTATGTTGCTTGCAGAATTCTTCACGTCAGAACGAAAACAGTCGTCAAACCAGGAGAGGGACAGACCAGTGAACATCCACGCCTTCCTTGAGGTTAGCCAGTGGACATTTAACTGCTCATGTCCATGTTTTTGTAGGGCGCGGCTTGCGGGCTTTGTGGATCACAGACAACTTGAGCTTACAGGTGCGGAGGCATTGGTGGTGAACAGGACGGCGGCCCTTCTGCAACTTCCGCCCCTACACTTGCTGGCAGACTTGACAGCTAACAGCGGAGGAATCGTGGTGGTAAGGATCCGTGACCCAATCACAGCCAGATATCGCTATATGACGTCGCGTGACGAAGAGCAACCTAACGCTACAGCTGTCCGTCCGCTTCCCTGTAAATTCAGGAATGTACCGGTGACTAATAATTGCCAGGTGCCAGTGAAATGACCAACCGCTGAGGAAATCCGCAAATCGAGACTATATGCTGTACTCTCATTACCACCTCCAGCTCCACACCCCACCAGTCTATCTCCTAGGTTAATTCATGACCAGGCAAGAAATAAGTACAAGACCACCATTAAAAATGCCTACCTAACACGGTGAGTGGAGATCTGAAGCAACCCACTGGCTGGCGGCTGTCATCAGCTGACCGTGGGTTATCAACAAACGTAATAAGAAAATTTATAATTTGTTTGTTTTTATGGTAGACTTAGTAAGGTTAGAGGTGACAAAATCTTTTCATTATGGGAGATTTCATAATTGTCTACTTACTAGACTTTACTAGAGTAATTTTCAATATAAGCTACTGAACTTAAACACAAAGAATGAGATGTGACGATGATGACAAATTGATCTTACGCCTGGCAGTTAAGTTTGGGTGCCCTCATAAACATATTGTGGCCCCCTAATGTTCTGTTTGTTCCATGTGGCCCCTAAGTATGGCATGGACTTCAGGGGCCATATGGCTCATGTTGAGATCCACTGGTTTAGGTGATGTGTACTTCTGTGCTGTTTAAGTAAATTACTGAACTTATTGTTTGGTCATATTTCTATGGTTATCTTATCTGCATTTCTACTTTTCATTTATAATTACAAGTGTTTTCTTTTAATCTCTTTAGTGCGACATAAACTTTTTTACACTGCGTTGCACTTTCATATAGGGCTTTCCTATAATAATCATATTAATACTAATTGTCAAAAGTATTTAAAAGTCTTCACCTGCATGACTTTGAATGCCTCTAAAAATCAAACCAATGGAGATCCCTCTCTAATTTTTGGCTTGTGGATGCATTATATCAAGGACAGTTGTCATGCCAATTTCCATGACTTTGAATTTTGAAGGTTTATCTGGGGTCAAGGTCAAAGGTCATACAGAACTGTAACTCTTTTATTTGATACTCTATGGTTTTTACAGTGGAAAAGTTATTCTACAACCTTTCTGAGCATTTTGAGACCAAGATTGTTGAAATCAGTTACAGTAGAACCTGAGATATGACCTTTCGAAATTACAAAGTCCTGCTGTTGACCTCAAAATATGGAAGGTCATAACTCGGAAATCCTTTGACCTAGGATAAATTTGTGACTTCATCATTCAATCAAACCTAATCATAACACAAAAATTAGGGAAATCGATGGATGAGTGGCAGAATTGTGTACACTGTGCTGCAGCACAAATGTTTGATAACAAATAAAGGAAGAGTTTGTGAGTTTGGTCTTGATTCAGACACTACAGTATAGCAGGAAAAGGCTTGAAAGTTTGGGATGGAGGTAAGTTGAATAAAAGTATATATTATGAACAATTATGAAAGAAAGCAGGACAAGAAAATGTAAAAAAAAAAAAAAAAAGTGTTAAAAGAGACATCCCTAAAGTTTCATTAATCTACACAAAATGCAAAAAATTTGTAAATATTGATTATGAAGATTATAGTCTATTTGCATAGTGTAGTTTTACTTAATTCTCCCATTGAAACTGTACAGTAATCAGTTGCATTATTTTTCCAGACAGTGATGAAATTTGCAGAACTTGTCTCAGAGGTGCACATTAACCGAGGACCTCAGTCAGCACTGAAGGACCTTGGGCTGCCATCAGGCTACAACAGACCAATAAACTATTAAAAGACTTACTTAAAAGATGGAAGAAGAAAATATGAGGGTGAGGCGTCATTGATTTATTGGTTGTACAGTAAGTCCGATAACGTCGTTCGCTTTAACGTTGTTTCGCATTTCACGCCACTAAACTTTAGAGACCAAAAATTCGCTTAACGCCCCAGTGATCCAATACTACGCCGTTTTCCGGCCGCCACGGACTACTTTCACGGCGCATCACCTGCTCTTGTCTGGTCAGACTACGCCTTCGCTCGGGCGCGACTGCCCTCACTCCTGAATGTCACAGCCCCGCCAGTTTTTGTTACGATTTCACATCATTCATGTGTGCTAAGTGCTTTTGCTCTAAAACAGGACTCTAAACATTCAAATGACTTCCAAGCAGCCATCAAGTGCTACTGATGCTAGTATAGTGAAGAGGCAATGTAAGACCATTACCCTTGCAACAAAAATGGATGTATTGACCCGATGGAAAGGGGAACGGTTGTGACATAGGCGCTGTGCTTGGTCTAACCCCACAATGGTGCTGCGTGATCTCCAGACCAAACTGACAAGATTAAGATTAGTGCTGGAGGTTCTTCTCTGAGTGCAACTACAACAACTTGGATAGAAGCACTGTGATAGAAAAGGTGGAGATGCTGGCTATGTGGATGGAGGACCAGAATCAACGCAATGCGCCTGTAAGCCTTATGGTTATCCAGCATAAGGCCAGATCCTTGTTTGACGACATAAAGACAGAAGAGGATGAAGGATCGGGGAAGAGACCTTTACGGCCAGCCGAGGATGGTTTCAATGATTTAAACGCAGGTGTAACTTCCACAATATTAAGATGATGGTGAAGCTGCCAGTTCAGATACTATTGCTGCCGAGACATTCCCACCAGAATTAAAATGGATTATCCAGGAAGGAGGCGACACCGGGCAAGTCTTCAATGTGGATGAGACTGGTCTCTTTAAGAAGAGGATGCCTGAAAGGACCTAAATCTCTGGAGAAAAAAAGAGCCAGGTTTTAAGGCAGCAAAGACTGCTTGTGCTAACACCAGCTACTCAAGCTGACGCCGATGTTGATTTCTCGCGCTGCTAACCCATGGCCCTAAAAGGAATACTGTGTCAAGAGAACACTGACTTCAAAATTCTTCTGATTCTTGACAATGCTCCAGCTCATACCTCCCAATCTCGACGACTTGCATGACAGTGTAAAAGTTGTATTCCTGCCTCCAACATGACAGCACTGCTGCAGCTTATGGACCAAGGCATCATCGCCCGATTTTAGGCATATTATTTATGCCGTACTACGGCCCAGCTGCTCAAGGCTACAAACAGAAAACAAATCCAATATCCGAGAATATTAGCGTGGCTTCAACAATCTTCATGCAATTGACAACATTGGCAAGGTATGGGAAGAGGTTTCAGAAAGTTGCCTGAATGGTGTGTGACGAAATTGTGGCCCGATTGGCGCTAACAGTTTTACGGATTCACGGACTTAGTCCCAGCAGTGAATAGGGATATCCTCAGCTTGGCTAGACAGAAAAAGGCTTTGATGAGCTGGAATCAGAGGATATTGAAGACGTCCTGGCCCCAGACAGAAGAGCTCACCAAAGAAGATCTGCAACAACTAACAGAACACAGTCCTGTTGAAGATGATGACAACGAAGAAGAACCTCAACGAGCACTAACTTCCAAGAGGATGGCAGAAGCATTCAACATGATCCAGCAAGGTATGTGAATCCTTGTAGATGACGACCAAACAGAGACCGTGAGATCAAAGATTCAGCAGGCATTGATGAAAGTCTTGGTTTGTTACTGAGATCTATAAGGAGAAGAAGAAGAGTAGCACCAAGCAGTCAACACTGGACTCATTTTTTCGTCGCAGGACACCAGAAGCAGCAGCAGCTTCACAATAGCCAGCAGCGAGGAGGAGCACACAGCAGCCGGGAGGAGCAAACAGCAGCCGAGGAGAAAGCAAACAACAACAGAAGAGCAAACATCAACGGAGGAAGGGCAAGCAGCGGTGGAGAACCCCATTCAGCGCAGGAGGAGGAGGCAGCTGCAGTGTCCCAGTGACTCACCACTCTCCTCCTCTCCCGCTCTCTTCCTCTCCCGCCATCTGCCTCCTCTGCTTCACTACCCACCACACACTCTCTCTCACCTCCACGCATCGGTGAGTACCAATAAAAACTTAGTAGTTGTATATGTAGCACTATTTCTATAGAAATGGCAATGATTTTCTGTATATGTAATGTATTTCATGGGGCAAAGGGAGGATCAAGAATAACTCTTGTATTTTATCTATTTCTTATGAGGAAAATTGATCCGCTTAACGCTAGTTTTTTATAACGTGGCATTTTTAGAACATAACCCCTCAGTGAGCCACGAAGTTGTGGGGGTGGGGGCTTGAAGCAACTGGTCAGGAGTGAAGTAACTATGGCATCTGTACAGCATTCCTAGCTCTTTTTTCTTATTTTATAACTCCAGCTAGACCGCAGCTTGGGCCTGATCAAGTCAATTGGCTAGTCACAGTGTGGCTAGGGATCAAATGGACATCAAAGGGCCTTGCACTCTATGGTCTAGGAGCAACCTTCTGTGGCCCTTGGTGGTTACCATATACTTCCTGCTGCTCTTGGGGTCACCAGGGTCTTATCTCTGGCATTGATCTCCCATGCTGTGCTCTATAGTTGAGTGGAGTGAAGTTGTTTTATTGAAGAAACATACTCCAATAACCGGTCGGATACTCCTACGACCTTCACCGTCCTGGACCCTCCTCTGGATCATCAGTTGCTATATTGCAGCCTATCAGATTAAAAAAGTGGCTCTGGATCTCAGCAAATACCCAAGTATAAGAGTCGCAGGAGGCCAACTGGCCCTGTCACTTCCATAGCGCTTCTGACCTTGACATCTTACCAGGTGTGTTCAAACTTAGATTTTGTAAGATATCTAGTGCTTCATACCATAGAAGGCCAGCCTGTAATGGAGCTGGACATTTTTCATGTTCACAGGTCAATAGTAAAATTTGAAGAACTCAAGATATCCACTGAGCAAGATGGTAGCCTCCAAGTGGAGTCTCCTCCCAAGGAGAGTTCTGATACCTGTTTTGGTATCACACTAATTGTTTTAATTAAGTTCTGGAACTCTTAAGTGGCAGGGCTTGATGTAAACACTTCTTGGCATTTTCTGTTTTATTGCCTATTTGCAGGTATATACACAGGTACAATCTGAGAGAATATATTGTGAATTCTCTCCAGGGAAGTGTTGGGAATAACACTTTGAGTTAAGTGCCCAGCTTCCTGTCCAGTGGTAGTGAGTGAACTGCCTGGGCAGAGCGGGCCTGTTGGTGGCTAAATCAGCTGACCCTGGCTCGACCCTTGAGAGAGGTACAAGCCAAGTGATCTAGAGTCGTGAATAATATGGTGCCTCAGCCTCCTGTACTTCACATGTCACCTTCCAGTGTTGAGGGTGTTATTCTCTAAAGAGCTACTCTGATACTCAGAGGAGGCTTCTGGAGGAGTTCGAGTCAAAAGTTGGTGAAAGTGGACAGGTTCCACAAGAAAGAAAATGGCTTCTTAACCTTACACCAACTGTTGTTGACATTTGACTGCTACTTCCAAGCTCTAACAGATTGCCTGGATCTCCTTAAGGTGTAAACCATGTGTCCCAAACCCTAGACAATGCTTGCTTTCATTGTCATTTGTATGGCCATATCAGTCATACTTGTCCTAAGTTAGAGCAGGGTGTTCCTGCAGTATGTGTTAACTGTGGTAAGGCCCATGAGGGTCAGAAATGTCCGGCCTGTCTGCAATTTTCACTATTGGAGGTGCACTTGGCCCTTCTAGTGAATGTGACCAGTTCTGACTCAAGAGAGAGATGTTTCATATCAGCACTAGACAAAGTGAGCTTTGCTGAAGCCAGAAGCATAGCACTGAAATCAGTCTTTAAATCATGGGGATTCCTATGCACAGGTTCTGTCCCGACAAAAGGCTCAGTGAACTGTTGCTATGACATCACCCCCAGAATCATCCGTATCTGTATTGAATTCAGCTCCCCACCCTGATTCTATGCCACCAAGGCCACCAATCCTCAGTCCTCAGACTTCTCTTGTAATGGCTGAGGTTCATATGGATGAGGCGGCACATCTGTTACTTCTATCTTTCCTCCACCGCCGCTCCAGGTACTACAAAATTTCAACGAAAATGTTGCCGATGGTCCTCAGAGTTTCTGGAGGTAAACAAGTCTCTGGCCAAGATCTTGGCGTTGGAATCATCCGACTGTAAGAGGAAAGCGACCCCTTTGCCAACTTCGAACCCAATTCTGAGTCCCAGACACTACAACAACAGATGTCAGCTCAGGCTGGCGTCTCTCCCCCAGATATGTAACTGATCCTCTTCCAGATGCCTCTGGTGACGAGCTAAAATTAAACTGACAGCTGGGACACCTGGCACATCTTCCATCTGAGCCATCTACAGGGGTTAACTCTGGTGTGGGTTCATCAGATGGGTCTACATCTGGGTCATCTGTGTCCACAAAGCCACAGGGACTGGTCATGGTACACTCCAGGTGCATCTTCCAGGCTCCAACGTCCAAACTAAGCCCGCCTAAATGCCTATTGGGGGCGATATTCGTGTAAATTTCTACTTAGATCTCCTATAATCATGGCTACCACTATGATCGTCCAATGGAATTGTCGAGGCTTATAAGCCAACTGGGAGGAGCTCCAGTTGCTTCTGAGCAAATTCTCCCCTGTCTGTGTTTTTCTCCAGGACACAATGTTAGGTGCCTGTGATCATCCCTCTCAGAGGTTATTTGGCTTTTTACTCTCTTCAAAATCCAGAACAGACACATCATGAGGGCACAGCTGTCCTTATCTCAGACAAGTGTGGTGTACCTCCCATACCCATTAGCCATCACTTCCCATTGCAAGTGACAGTTTGCAAGATTCACCTCCAACGCATTTATACCTCATGCTCCATTTACCTTCCTCCCAGTCCCAGTACTGTATATTAATTGTCAGAGGATTTGGTTTCATTAATTTTAATGGGGTGATACAATAGTTAAT